ATCAGAGGGATCCATCTACATGCATATAACAATGAAACAGGAACTCAGATCATCATACCCTGTCTGGCTTCAACATGATTGTACAATGATTAAAGAAGTATATTTAGCATGACTGCATGTAAAAACATGCCTCCCAAGTGCCTAGGACAACATCATCAACCGCATGAACAAAATATAGGGCAATCCTTGGCAACCATCACAACCATGAACCGCATCAGGTGCAAAACGGACACTAAACAGATAGGGAATCATCAGATAGAACAAGCTACTGTAACAACCAACATCAATCCAATAACAAATGAAACCCTAATCCATCATGAAACAGTAGCTTGTACTCAGAATAAACGAACAAACAGTGAACTGCAACTACGATAACAAGCCCTAGCATCATCGCCATCAAGAAAGAGGGGGGATTGGGAGTCGATTTCACCTCGGGGTGGTCGTCGGAGCAAAGGAGCGGCGTAGCTAGGAGAAGAAGAAGAACCGACGACGAAGAGGAAGCAGATCTGGACGGAGAGTAAGCAGATCTGGCCAGGGGAACACCAACCGCACCACCGCAGCAATAGAAGAAGATGAAAGAAGACGGCCGCCTGCACGGAGTCCCCACGGTCGACGGAGCGGCGTCGCGTCGAAGCAGATCCAAGGCGGGGGAACGGAGATGAAGCCCGCCGGGGAAGGACGCCGCCGTGACGGACACTAGCTCTCCACCGCGGCCGGTCTCTCACGTGGCTAGAGGGAGGGCCAAGAGCACGGAGACGAAGGAAGGAGACGCAGCGGCAACGGCCGCTTATAAAGGCGGCAGATTTCGCCGGTGGGGAGGGCGCGCAGAGGTTTCCCCCTTCCGGCGTGAGCCCGCGCGAGCCACCCACCGCCGTGCCAAATCGCCCCGAAATCGTCCGCCTCGCGCCACTCGCAGCCGCGCCCCCAGAAAACGAACCCTAGCTTCGTTTCCCCACAGCCAGGTGGACACGCCCCTTTTGCACCGCGGCGACCAGGCTTAAGAGCGGGCTAGCAGCCCCAAACACGGGCGTTGCAGCCCAGGAGCGTAGCCGGGCCGCTGGGCCACGCTTCCAAACATGCTCTTTCTTTCTTTACTTTTATTTTATTCTTCGGCTGTGGTTGTTGATTGACTACTTATGTAAGTCTTGTGAGTGATGCTAAATTCTTTCAGTGTACTTTTGCAAATGGCGAACGATGAGTTTTTTCTCATCGTTTTTTTTTTGCCAATTTCCATAAAGATAAGTGTGCTTTTGATGGCTACATACTACGCTTGTTGTCATGTGCACCTTTTGTTTTCTTCTTTTTCCACGTGCTACCTGTTTCCTCTTGGATTCAGATTGGCATTCATTCAAACTCCAGCCTCCCAATTCCCAAATGGTTGTTGAGAGAACGAAACACCGGTCGATTCTGATCAGTCCACACATGCAGTACGTGTTACTGAACTTTTCTGGGAGAGAACATAGAACACAGTAGTCCCGCAGCCCGTTCGTTTGGCTGTGGTTTGTCATAAATGATCGTAAATTTTCAGCTGGAACAGTATTTTTTTCTCACACAAACCAACCAGCAGTACTTCTTCATGAATCAGCAACGAAACGAATCAGCCAACCGAACAGGCTGCCGGTCCGTAGAGATAGAGAAGATTCTAATAAAAGTTTAGCTCGTCCTGCAGGTGTCGGTGACGGTGAGGACGTATCCTTGTGTTTTCAGCTCAAGTGTAGAACACGAACAGGGATAAATCTATATACTGATGTTATATATCTGCATATGAAATCAAGCTTGATTAATTCAATTACAAACAACCAGCATGGCTGAATAATAAATCTTGTAGGAGAGTACGGTCGATCAACACTTTATCACGATGGATAAGAAATAAAATCACGAATGGACCAACTTTCCTCTGAAATCTTTTCAGAAGATACGGTTGATCAGTCTCTCACTCAAATCTCATAGAGCATTCCATCCTGCAAGGTCTTGCATGCTCGGTCTTGAGCATGGGAAACTCGTTCTATGAAAAAACACAAGTAATCCACCACGTCAGATTTCATAATTGGATCGAAACCCCTTGTTCTAGAACCCGGGCCGACCCACAGTTCTAGAACCCGGGCAATGATAGGTGATAAAAGGAAAAAAAAGTAAACATATATTTCTAGGATTCGAACCAATACCTATTTGTAATTATACAACTAATGTTGTTCTTTTAAGTACACTAGCAAATATGCACGTGCGACACACACGTGTTTCCATGCGAGAACTAACGGAAACAATATATACTCCCTCCATCTCAAAATAACTGTTGTTTTCGCTTTCCGAGAAATAACTTTGACTAATTTTATATAAAAAAATATTAATATTTATGATACATAATTAATATCATTATATAGAACTTAAATCTATTTTCATAATAATTTTTTTAGAGATATAAATATTGCACGTATTTTCTATAAATCTAATTAAACTTATGGTATGGAAACTCAAAACAACAGTTAATCTAGGACGGAAGGAGTACATATATGTACACCAAAATATACGTAATAAACTAACAACCAGCTAAAAATATATATATAACGTACGTGCGTGCGTACCATGTTGAAGTCGCCCTGGGGTTGGGCAGACACTCAGGTAGTACTCCGTACCCTGTAGCCGGATTGCAAATAAGCCTCCGTTGCTGAACCGGTTGCTAGCACCAGTGTCTTTCACCCAAAGCTGCCTCTGCTTCTTGTCTCCTGGATTGGCGGCGTGCTCGCGCATGTCCAACTCGTAGGGTGAGTTCCCGGCCGGGGAGCAGCGCGGAATAGCGGTGAGGAAGCGGTTCTCGTCCTCCAGCTCGGACAGCGTGAACGTGCCCACGCCACGTCGTTGAAACTCAACCATGTTGGATCTTCGATCGGTTATTATTGTCACTCGTTCGCGATGGCAAGCTGATGGAACAAAGGAGTATGACTATGGGGTGATGGGTATTTATAGGGCCGCATGCAACCCGACAGTGTATGATGCGCGACGTCGTCATCTGGGCTTTAACTAAGCGAACTTTAGCACTCGCATAATAGTGCGACCTTGCTTCGTACATGGCTGCGTGCAAGTTCAATCACGGACGCGCTAGGAGTCTAAGAAAAAAAAAGATGGAGTAGATCAAAGATAGAAGTCGTACTTGACTCATGTATACCTAACATAAACGTTAACAAAAAGATGGTGCACTCGTACTTGACTCATGTACCTAGAATAAACGTGACTTATGGCGGAGGGATTTTAGACGTACCGTGAGACGTATTTGAGATTGAATAAAAGTCTTACATCTTACATGTAAGATCACGGATGACGGAGGGCTCATATCGAACGGTTGTTATAGAAGAAGAGTAAGATCATGCATGACGGATGGCTCATATAGCGTGGCGTATAGATCGAACGGTTATTATAGAGGGAGAGCCTCCCTCAAAAAAAACCCGCTCTTTTATTGTGTGATAATTTTGAACTTATATTGTATATTGACACTCTAATAATCTTAAATGAAAAAAATATTAGTTGCAAAGTTATAAATCTCGTCGAATACTACAACTTTGATGTTCACTTTATCTTTATTCGACATTATTAATCATCTCAAATCCAATCCAAGAACTTGTATTGAATATTTAGACATGTAAATCATCTTAAATTAAAAAATTGATAGTTGCATAGTTTTAGATCTCTTTGAACTCTACAAATTTGATATAAAGTTTATCTTAATCCGACCACCTCCTACAAAAAAGATTTTTTTTGTGCAAAACAAGCTACCATTGACGGTATGTGGCTTCAGCGATAGCGATAGACTATCTCTGCCGGTTAAAGTCACGAACCGGCGGTTATAGTCCGATAGTAATACGCATGTTTCAAGCCTATGTTCAAAGTGTTTCAGTTGTTTCAGACGTATGTTTCAAATATCTTCATCTGGATGTTGCATATGTTGCTATGGCTATACACGCATGTTTCAAGTGCTCGTTTTCATGTGTTTCAGATGTTTCGGACTTATGTTGCAAAAGTGGATCTAGATGTTGCATATGTTGCTATGGCTATGCATGCATGTTTTAAATGTTTCATCTGTTTCAGTTGTATGTTACAAGTGTTTCATCTTTATGTTTCAAAGTAGATCAGGTGTTACACATGTTGCAATGCGCGCTGGTGCCTGGTGGACAGCGGCCTGCCGCAGCCGCCTGGTGCTGATGCGGGGGGGCGCCGCCATAGTTCACGTGCGGGCGCGGCAGCCTGGTGCTGCTGCCGAGGCACCGCCGTGGTTTGTATGCGGGCGCGGGGGCGCAATTCCAGGTGCTGGTGCGTGATACAAGCGGCCGCGGGATGCGATGCGTGCTGGCATCGAGTGCAAGCACGGAGCTCCAGACGGACGAACGTGGTCTCCGGAGCGGGATTTGGCTCGGGCGAAGGGAGTTGCGTGCGTCGGACGCGGGTGTGGGAGCTGTGTCCGGATGCACTGCTAGGCCCGGACGTCCGAGCGCTAGTGCCTCCGTTGATTTAGACATTGACACCTTAAAAACTTCGGTTAATGCTTTTTTACCGTATTTTATAAAGTATAGCCAAAGGAACACTATTATGGAACTATGTTTAAGATAATTCTACTCATACATTTTTAAATATTCAAAATTCACACTATAATCTCTTAGCAAAGTCTAAGATGGTTGACTTGCACACAATCCAAACTGGATCCATTTTGACCGGAGGAGCAATGAGTATTGGAATTTATAAATGTTTTTTTAATTATATAAAAGATATTTTCATTTTTTTAACCATAAGAAGGAGAAGATGTCGCTTGTTCGGCACTCCAAGAAAATTGGCCAACCGTACTACCGTAGAACGCAGTACATTTCCCGAGCCCGAGCGATCGCTTTTCGCCTTTCTTCTACCTCCCGACTCGCTGGCCTCTCCCCGACCCTGCCCCGCCTCATCACTCCCCATCCCACCGACACGCGGCGTGTCGCGCGCCTCCGCTAAAACCCTAGCCCCACCCAGGCCCGATGGCCGCCCCGCCGCAGCCGCACCCACCGGCAGCGGAGGAGGGGGCCGCGCCGGCGGCTCCCCTGCCCGCCGCCGCGCCGGGTCCACGGCCGTACGACGTGGCGGTCGCGGCGGCGGAGCTCCGGCCGGTGGACTGCAACCTCGCCGCGCTCTGTGACCACGTCCAGGCGGAGGGGTTCGGCTCCGGGGCCTTCTCCGACCTCGTCGTGGAGGCCATGGGCGCCACCTACCGCCTCCATCGCCTCATCCTCTCCCGCAGCGCCTACTTCAGGTAGGTTCTAGAATGCTGATCATTGGCGCTCCTGCCGCCTTCGATTACTTGGGGATTGAAGTCCCTGTTGCGATCTGATTGTCTGCAACTGCTCGGAGAACTTAATTGGATTTCTATGTGGACATTTTTGTCTTGGTTGGGATGTCTCCATCCATTTCCTGTGAAATTTCCATGTGCTTTGATCCCTATTAAAATGTTTAATCTAAGAATATGACCTTACCAAGTGATTAGGATTTTTTTTTCAGAAAAAAATTACAGCCTGCAAATAGCATGCCAATTAAAATCTTACACTCTTATACAGAATATGTTAGATCCTCATTTACTCTGTATATCATAGTGCATCCTTCAATGTTTAGTTTGCTCTATGACTTTCAGATTTCCATCTATGCCATGAATCATGACTGAAGCTAAAATTGATTTAATAAAAGTCAGGAACTACTCGCTAGATAGTTTTTCTGTTGAGATTCCAAGGTCAGAATTGTGGATGGAGGTATAGCCATCAACCAATAGCGTGGCACATGAAAAATGAAATCATAATGGTTATGGCCCCTGCATCTTTGCTTGGTACTTGAATGGGACTTTGGTGCTCTGCTCTTGTAGGTTGTAGTTACCATGGATATGCATTGCTTGCTTATCACTTAGCAAAACAAAATGTATAAACTTATATAGAATTATGATAGAACTATGCAACATTGATTAAGTTTCATTGCCTATAGCCGTACTCTGTGTGTTTGTCTGTCAGCACAGTAGTCACTCTCTTTCTGCAGCCAAACTTTTACCTTTTGCTGTTTTCTTACATTATTTCCTTACTAGCACATAGAATGTTCATGTAATTTAAAATAAGTAAAATTCTTAACAACTTCTGTTTGATATTGACTGGAAGGAATATGCTACATGGTCCTTGGAGAGAGGCGGGAGCACCCACAGTGGTTTTGCACATAGATGATGCCAATGTTGATTCAGAGGCAATTGCAATTGCACTCAAGATATCTTTATGGGCAACCCCAAGCTTAATGATAACAATGCATTCCGGTGCTTGCAGCTGCATCATTTCTGGATCTTCAGGTCTAACTCATTTATTTTATAATTTTCCTTTGTGCTTCATTGTGCTGTGTTATTTTGTCTCACCTATGATGTGGTCAACTGTAGGACTTATGTACAATATGTACAGATTTTATTATTTCTGAGCTTTGGACATCAAACTTTTTACAATATCAGGTAGGTTCATCACTATTATATAGATTATTGTTGGGTCAGAACAGATTTCTTGAGCACTAAAATGTTCACTTTCTTCTCCTTGATCATTCATGGTCTTAGTTTTTTCTCATTACTAATAGTTGTTTGCTGAGAGTCAAGATTATGGGAGCCATGGAGAGCGTGTTAGAAATGCTTGCTGGGGTTATCTTTGTCAAAGTGCCACACTGGAATTACGAGAGGTACATATGATTTATAGGACTTTATCTGATTAAATGGTGTAGTTGTGTTGGTTGAAATGCCCTGCAATCTTTTCTGAGATATTTTTATTGATTTGTTACCACCACTTTAAGTATGCTCACTCAAGTAATTTTACATCGCTTATTTATGATTGCATATGAATTGAAAGGTTGCCTTTTGTATTGAATATTAGATATTGATAGAGCTCATTTATCGATAGACCTTGTCATCCATGCCTTAATTTCAGCAATGTCTTTCTCTGCATGAATTAATTGACTATTTGTTTCAGTATTTATTAAATCAAGTGCATGGTGACTATTATTGTGAATGGGGATAGTATGGCTGTTAGGTGTACGAAAAATGTTGAGAAACTATTCTATGTTTAGTTACATGAATATGTTTAGTTTTTTTCTTTTCATCAACATAAGTACTTACACGTGAGGTTGTTCTTAGCTGGGATTTGTTGTTTAATATACATTCTATGTTATATGTGAACATGCTGGGGCTTTTGGTTATTATTATTTTTTATTTTGTTCTTGAAAGGTGCTACCAAAGCTTTCTTCACAAACTTTGCATGCTCTCCTTACATCTGACGAATTGTGGGTACCTAACGAGGAGAAAAGGTTAGTTATGTCACTTTGTGTTTATTTGTCTGCTCAATGATACTACAAGCCCTTTTGTGACAACATCTTATCTTGGTACTTGAAGGTTTGAACTAGCAGTGTTTACTCTACTTGCAAAGGTTGCTATGTGTGAGATACAAGTTAGTGGGAATGAGTCAAACTTAACAAGTGCTGATCGATCCATGAGGAAGGGGAAGACTCCAATGAATAGATCTGGGGAGGAACTGCTAATGGACTCTGAATTGCAGAACTTAAAGTTGCATGATAACTTGGGGAATGAAATTCCCCATAACATTATTGCTATTTCAGATATGGTAATCTGATGGAATATTGTATCTGCACAGCTGAAATGATGCTCAATCTCTACTTTTGTTCAATATGCTATATATTTCCTTGTCTTATGAAATAACTATTTTTAACATGAAGCATGACAACTACATTAAGACTGTACTGTTTTTCTGAAATTTAGAACAGTGAAGCTCCCAAGAGAATGGAGAATGATTGTTCTACCGGAGGACAATCAGGAGAAAGCACTTCATATCAATTTAATGAGAATAACTGGCTTTCTAGTGAGCAAACTGCAAATAATTATTTCTCAAGAACTTCCAGTAGTGGTGTTGTTCCTACTGAGTGGGGAAGGCCCAATGCACAACTTTGGGGTGGTAGGGTCGTTGGACGTCGGCAAGTTAGATGCATTAGAGGAAGCTCTTGTCTATCTACCGATGAATATAATGCTTTTATGAATATATTTGAGAGGGGTTCTCTTCTCTACTGCAATATGTCCTTTGATGCATTGCTAAGTGTTCGAAAGCAACTCGAAGAATTTGGATTCCCTTGCAAAGCTGTCAATGATGGTCTATGGCTACAGGTATTTAATCTACTCCCTGCCTTGTGGTACCCTGTTCCTTTTAAGACTGTATATAAAACCTTGATACTTTGTTATTGTAGATGCTTCTGTGTCACAGGGTGCAAGCGATAGTTGCTGATACTTGCAGGAACTGTTGCCTTACGAATAATTCTTGTGCTTGCAAGCAAGCATATGTGAGCTCGCATACACACTACAGGCAGGAGCATGACCGGAGCAGTGCTTCCGGCAGCATAGGTAATGTCTACCTTGCGGATGCCCAGGGCGATGGGAATGGTGTACTTGGGCCTGTCCGTGTTAACGTAAGAGGAGCAGTCGATGGACTTGCTGGTATTGGGAGAGGGAACTCAAATGTGCCTGGTGCAGCTTGGGCTCCTACACGTTATGTCTTCTCCCGTGTCCCTTATGGGCTCGGTTCAAGAAATGGCCAGCAATTTGCCAATGATGAATCAGAACCTAGAATTGACCGCAATGGAGATATTTCAGCAGATGGTCTGACTGCATTGGTTAACCTTAACCAGGAAAACAATGCTGCTCACCTGCAGGCTGAGAGCCTATTTGAGACAGGGATGCAGACAAGATATTGCAGTGTTGCATCTGTTTCCACTCCAGGTGGTTCTTCTGTCCAGATCCAGGAGTCAAAGGAGCATGAACTTGGACCAGATTGGGAAACTGCAGAGGATGCAACTATATCATTAGACATGAAAACACCTCTTAGCCATTTTCCTCCTTTCCGCTTTGGGTAAGATTACTTATTTTTCTGTTTCTGCGATTCTGTCATCAATGATTAACTACATTGGACGGTGTCCGGGGAAAATCTGACTTGTTATTTCTTCCATTTCCTAGAATGTCCCAGTTATCTCACGAATCATTTGAAAGTTTGAGGACAGTTTACTTCTAGAATACCAATTGGGGCTGTTGCCTTGTTGATAACCTGCCATGGCAGAAATAAGAAAAATAAAATAAAATTTCTCACAAAAATATGAGGCTAGCTAACCAAGACATATTCTGCTGTTTGTTCTGTCATATGTAGGTAGTAATGATTTAGAATTGGTTGTGCACATTGGTTCCTTGTTTCTGACATGGCTTGACCAGCTTATTTTTGCTCACAGGGTTGAGTTCGAGGATGTGCACAGGCTTGCTGATGGTCAGGTGAAACATTCGACTGAAGTGTTTTATGCAGGCTCTCTATGGAAGGTTAGTATTGTTGTCCTACATGTATCCATCCTTATAATGGTCAAAATCCAGTAAAGTAATTGGTATACACATGTCCAGGTGAGTGTCCAGGCATTCAACGATGAGGATCCTCATGGGCGACGCACCCTTGGTATTCTTTTCTTCTTTGCCATGTTCTCATATGCTTCCCTCTTGCTGTGATGACTATCCTAATATAATGATATGCCATGTACCAATTTAACTGGCAATGCAGGACTTTTTCTCCACCGACGCAAGGCTGAGTTGTTAGATCCCTTGAGGAAGGTGAGTGATCTGCTGAATTCACTTGTCACTTGTCAGAGAACATTATGTTCAACTCAAGTGATAATAAAACTTGTATTCCTCAGGCTAATTTGTACGTTGACCCCCGGGAAAAGGTTACTGCTCGGTATCAGGTACTATCTGTTTTTCATCTACTAATCGTTTCACTGAGGTACTGTGTGTGGCCTAATTTGCCAATTTGCTTGCTGCTCTTAGCTCATCTGTCCATCGAAGAGAGAGGTCATGATATTTGGAAGCCTGAAGCAGGCTGGGACGCTGCTACCAAAAGCCCCGAAGGGCTGGGGTTGGCGCACTGCTATACTGTTTGATGAGCTTGCAGATCTTCTCCAGGGTGGTGCCCTGCGAATTGCTGCAGTGGTCCAGCTCGTCTAAACAACAGTTGCAGAAAACAACTGCTTGCAAGGATGGTGATACCATAGCAGTTTATGTAGTTGATAGTTTGATACCTGCAAGAACTCAATCCGTCATGTACTCGTGCTCTGAAATTGTGTATACTGTATAGTGGTTCGCTGTTTGATATATCAAAATAATATATAGGTGGACCTTCAGCTCTGGATTTGAGCCCATGTGGACGTAGAACA